GACTCACCCAGGACAACTTCCAGTCCCGCAAGCTCCATTCATGGTAAGTGTCCTATACAGATATACAATTTTTTATCTTTTATGCCATATTTTTACTGTACCTTTTCTATGTTTAGATATACAACTACTTCCCATTGTGTTACAACTGCCTGCAGTATTCAGTACAGTAACATGCTGTACGCATTTGTCACCTAGAAGCAATACGTAATACTATAGAGCCTAGATTTGTAGCAGGCTCTACCACCTAGGTTTGTGTAAGTCTACTCTATGATGTTCGCACAACAAAATCAACGAACACATTTCTCAGAATGTATCACTGCTAAGTGATGCATCTACATCTAGGAAGGAACATCTCTTAATGTGAGTTTTTCAGTCATGCTACAGATATGCTATATTTTCACAACCCTAATCATAATTTACTTTAATGGAAAAGATAGTAGGCTGAAAAATTAAAAAGTTTTTGCTACCACATCACACAAGTAATACTGGACAAATTTTCACAAAAATTAGAGGGTATTATTGAAATTAATCTGGCTACTGTGGCATATAGAAAATTCACTAGGAGGGATTATAAATGAGCTACGGAGGCAGCTAATGGTGGCCTGTTAGAGAGGTAGCCTTCTTCCAAAGAAGCTGCAAGACTTGATTTGAAATGATATCATTTTCACAGAAGCAACTAGCATGATTCAGAATAAACTGCATCAGGGAGTTATATTTCTTGATGACTGTTTCACTCAAGAAATTCAGGGCATGTCAGCCAGCAAATAATAAGACTCATCATTTACTAATTGATTCAAAAATATTTATAGTTGTCAAGCATGTGCCCAGAAGTATGTTAAACACTGCATTTATAGTAATTAGCAAAATGTACATAACCCCTGATTTCAAAGAGCTTATAGTCCAGGATGAAAAGCAAATGATAAAAAACCCTAGTATAATATGTAAACTATAATAAGTGATAGAAAAGTAAATAAGTTGTGACAGTTGGTAATTGGGGAAACTTAATTTAAATCACGGGGGAGGGGTCAGGAAAAGCCTCTTTGAGAAAGTAATATTTAAAGTGAGATACAGGCCTGGTACAGTGGCTCACATCTGTAATCCCAGCACTTTGGGAGGTCAAGGTGGGTGGACTGCTTGAGCCCAGGAGTTTGAGACCCACCTGGCTAACATGGTGAAACCCTCTTGTCTCTACTAAAAATACAAAAATTAGCAAGGTGTGGTGGTGGCACCTGTAATCCCAGCTACTCAGGAGGCTGGGGCAGGACAATCACTTGAACCCAGGAGGCAGAGGTTGCAGTGATCCAAGGTTGGCCTGGGCAACGGGGTGAGACTACATCTCAAAAAAAAAAAAAAAAAAAAAAAAAGTTGAGATGCAAAGGACAGAATGATTTCTCTAGGACAAGGACAGATGCATGAAATAAAAGGCGAAGAGTGAAAGAACAAGAAGTACACTTTTTGAGTACTTACTGTGTTTCATGTGCATTAATTCCAACCTTTACAGCACCCTATGGCAAAGGTATTAGGATTCCATTTTACACATAAAGAAAGTGAAGCTCAGGGGGATAAGTTACTTAACCACGTCTACACAGAAAAGACAATACTCAAAGTTATGTCTAGCTTCAAGCTCTACATTCTTTTATTATAGCTGTAAGGTTACAAGGCTATTTAATCCTCACTAAATGGCTAAAGTTCTAAGCGTATAATATACTACACAATGATAAATATTTTCTTATTAAGTTTCAACCTTTAGACACACATTCCAATTTGTGTGGGCTTTATCTTCTCAAAGTCATATTTTGATATGTATCCACATTATATTTAGTTGGTTAAATGGCCTCTTTTCCAGCAAAGATTTTGAAGCAGCTTAAAGGACACATAAACACATGAATACTATCAATTTTATATACTACCTTATAATTGTATGGCACTCCACAATTTTGTAAAGAGTGCTCATACAAATTTTAGGATATTTCAGAAGATACAAGCATTTCTTAGTTTAAAAGCTCAAGGATAAGCTGTAAGGTTTACTACTGGAACTATGTATCAGATGCTAGATTATATATAAATGTTTCTAGGTACCTCCTTTCCTTAACAACAAAGTTTCTGGAAAGACTGTCTCCATTGACTGCTAATATTTATAACTTACTAGGACAGGCTGAATATTGGTCCCTCAAAGATGTCCACACTTGGGTCCTGTGAATGTTACCTCATACAGCAAAAGGGGCTTTGCAGATGGAATTCTGCAAAGAGAATTGCTAATTAGCTGACTTTAAAATAGGGAGAATATCCTGGCTTGTCCAGATGTAACTACCCCTTGTAATTATAGGGGCTCTCAAAAGTAGAAAAGGCAGTGAGAGATAGGCAGAAGACATTTCAATAGTGAGAGGGACTTCAGTCACCACTGGGGACCTTGAAGATGGAGAAAAGGGGCCATGAGCCAAGGAATGGGGGTGGCCTCTAGAAGCTGAAAACAGCCCGTAGGTAACAGTTAGCAAGGAAACAGGGATCTCAGTCCTACAACCACAAGGAGCTGAATTCTACCACCAACCTGAATAAGCAAGGAAGCCGACTCCTCAGAGCTGCTAGTAAGGAGTGCTGCCCTGCCAACACTTTGATTTTAACTTGGTGAGACCTGTATGCAGACATCTGACCTAGAGAACCATGAGAAAATAAATTGTGTTGCTTTAAGCTGCTAAGTTTATGGTAACGTTATGGTAGTAATGAAAAACTAATATTCTTCCTACTACTCTTACACTCTTAATTCTGGCTACTTTGAAACTGTTTCTGCTAATCAAGTCTTAGTTGGTAAGTGCAATTACATTTTTCAGTTCTTCTACTGCCTGTTGCCCTTCTGACCTTTCTGCCTGTCTCCTTGAAACCCCCTCCTCCCTTGGTTTCTATAATATCACTCCTGATTCTCTTTCCTTTTTCTGCCTCCTTCATGGGTACTTTGTCTATTTTTCTGTAAATGTTGGTGTTCCATAGGAGCCTATTTCCAGGCTCTCTTCTTACATTACATATTCCCTTGGCCTCTACCTACAAAAGAGTTCCCAAACCTTATTCACAGATCAGAAGTCACATTTTAGTTTCATAGTATCACCCATCTTCAAAGATGTCTCAAAGCCTTCAGTAATTTGAACCTGTTCTCTCCTCCCAAATCTGCCTATCTCTTTAATTCCCTTCTCCCATTAACTGCATCTCTAGTCAACCAAAGAAGTCAGTGTGGTACTCTGTCATTATCCTAAGACTATGTTCTCATTGATTATTCATGTTATTGGAATTAAATTCATTTGTATATTTCTGAATGTCTCTATCCGCATGCCACAGTCTTAGTTTAGAAACCTATTCCTTCTGAAATTAGTAAAGGACCACTTTGTCTGTTCACTTTCATTGTTACCAATCTCCAAAGCTGTTCTCCACCTTCTTGGTAGCATGATCTTTTTGAAAAACAAGTCCCAATTTATTACCTATTCATTAAAATGCTCAATAGTTCTCTGTAGCTCTTAGCATAAACTCTGCCCTTCCTAAGACTCACTTCTTTCACTCTCAACATACCTATTTAACACACTTCTGTAAATGCTATTTCTTAAAGCTGTAATGCCTTTCTGCTGTTAGTTTTAGTGGCTGACTGAGGATTTGACCAACACTGGTATATCCCAGAAGTGGTGTTTGACAATCCCCTGTTACTTAAAGTTTTAGTTGCCATGTGGCTTCAGGAACACAACACAGAATGATATAACAGAATACCGAACATAGCACCATCACACCAAGTTTCTAGTTTTATTATTAAACAGGCAAGTGATTAAAACTGCTCTGGGCCTGTTTTCTCATTTGTGATGTGAACTAGACAACCTAAAATTCCTTTAAAGTTCACAATTCTAGTTTTCTATTTAAAAACATTAAAATTTATTAGGTACTTTAAAAATACTACAGGTAACTTACAACACTGTTCAATTTCCAGAGAGACGTATCAACATAGTTACATTATTTACACACAATAATTTACCTTATCAACTAGATAAAACAGAGAGTACAGAATATCTTGTTCTGAGGATTTGGGGATGAGATCTAAATGGGACTGGAAGATCAAACCACTGAGATGGGAAGGAAAAACTGTGAACTGAAAAGAGGTCAAACTTACAATGACCAAAAGGAGGGCTACCTCGAGTAATGTTAACATTTGTAAAGCAAGCAAAATCATCAGATGAGACCGGGATTTTGCCTGCTTTTAGGCAACAAAATTTACCTATGTTAATGAACCCTCTTCTAATTTGAGACTTCTTCCCGTGGCCACGTTATATACCTTTTCTCTCCCAGTCCTGAGCTTTGGTTGCCATTTGCTTTTAACTCCCAAGCAAACACCTCCTCCTTGTTGCTTGGGGAGATGCTATAAATAAAATCAGCGAAAGTGTCTGATTGATGGTAAACAGGCCTGGGGCGATAATGAGTCTAGTAATTAGGGCCTCTCAGGATACAGCCCAGCCCTTTCTCCCGCCCCCGGCGGCGCACCCCGAGCTCCGCGCGGGTATCGAGGGAGTGGCCGGGAGTCCCCGGCCCAGCCGCCGCGAGGTGGGGTTCCTTCGTTTCCACAGAGGTGGAGAGCGCGACAGCCGAGCCTATTTTGGTCTAGTTTGCGTTTCTGTGAGGAGCAGCTAGCGGAGTGAGCAGCGCCCGGACGCGCCCCAGGCCCCCTCAACACCCCTTGGGAGAGCGCCCCGGGGCTCGAGCGCGGAACGGGGCTGCAATGGCAACCGCTGGAATAACGGCCTCGGCTCCCGGCGGCTCCTCAAGCCTGCAGGAGAGGCAGGCTGGGCTGGGCACCTAGCTGTCCCCGCGCCCGTCTGCCCCAGCCCGGGTGCAGCAGGTGGACGCGGCGGTGCAGGAGACCCAAAGGGACACAGGTGGCACCGACCCCCTGCATCCACCCACGGGACCACCAGACCCCCGTCAAGACCGTCTTTCGCTGCAGCCCCATCGCCAGATTCAGCATCCACCCTCACCTGGCCCCGACCGGTTCAGCCCTCTGACCGCAAAATAACGGGGTGTCTGAAGGAAGTAGCAACGACTCGTCTTCCTCACCCCAATCCCCGCTCAAAGGGCAGCGGGACAGCGGGAGGGCGGCTGCTGCTCACGAACCTCTCTTGCGGACCTGTTTTCGGCAGCGACAGCTCAGATGTCCTAGTCGCTGCCTCTTGGTCCCCGCGTCTCCTCAGACCAATTCAGCCGGCAGCCGCACAGCAGCGACTACTAACCGCGCATGCGCGTGCGTCCCGGCGGGAGGGGGTGGCCGCCCGAGGCGCTTGCGACGCGTTCCAGCTCCAAGGGACTCAACTGCCTCCAGGGGGAGCCGCACTGCGAGTCAGCACCGCCGCTGCCCTCCAGGTCTCGCGCCGACCAGTTGCGGCGTGGACACCGCTCACGGGTAAGCTGAGGAGGAGCTCCTCCTGCAAGTCCAAAGACTTTTCCTCCTCTGAGCGCCCGCCGTCTCTGCAGACCGTGCGGTTCTACCTCTTGTTGCACAATGATCGGGTCCTGAATTTTATGTAAATCATATTTATGAATACTGTCCAGTAATAAGTGCATCAAGATCAGGGCTCTAGGCTTTCTCTAGAGTTCTAGATAACAGGTCTGCGGCCATGGTGATTAGTAAGGAGCTTTCCTGTCTGGTGAGTGTATATGACAGATATGTTGAATGTTAACATAATAAATACATTGTATATAAAACAATATATTCTTTTTCTCTCCAACAACACTATTAATAAGAGCTGCTAACATTTATTGTGCCCATTGTGCTCTAAGGGTCTTACATTCATTGTTTAACCTTGGCAGCAACCCAGGTGATGAGACTGATGATGACTTGCTAGAAATTACACAACCTGTAAACAGTGGAAACAGGATGTAAATCAGGCCTGTCTCTCCCACAGCCTGTAGTTTCAAACACAATGAAAGAAAACTACATACAGCATAAACGTAGTGTTCAATCACGAGCTGCTTTGCCCTTTATATATTGGATCATTCAGATTTTAGTACTGATATTTTATAGTAAATTTTGGCTTTGAATTTGGTATAATAACAATTGTTGGAAGAATAAATAACAACATTTGAGTTCTGAGTCTAACATCCTTGTTGAAGAGTCTCAATCTTAAGGAATTGGTGGCATTCCATGCACAATGTATCATTATTGGCTAGTGATCAATAATGAGTATTTTTTTACATTGCTTCACTAAGAGCACTATTTCTAAGCTTTTGACTTTGTCACCTCCTGGACCCTGTTTGGATAGTGTTAAAGTTTGCTTGTTAAAAAGACAAATTTTATTTGAGGTACTTTGTAACATTATCCCCTTTATTTCTTTCTTCCCTCGTTCTGACTTCTATTATTCAACATACTTCTGTGGCCCATAACAAATACACTTGATTTGCTAGAGAAGGATTTTTTAAAGGATCCATTCAAAGCTTGCAATGAAGAAGCTGAAAACTAAAAATGTAAAAACAGTGAATTTTCGCAAGATTTAGTAGTATCTTCTTGGTCACATAATACTCAAAACCTTGAGAACATTGTTTAATCTTTGGCTGCTGCACTCACTGCCTCCATAAATTAAACTCTATTTCTGTAAGATCATCTAAAAGAGGTCCTTACCTCCTTCCATCCCTGTACCATTTCTCTAGTTTAGGTTCTCACTCCTTTGGAAACCGTTACTTAGAGTTGCCCAACTAATTGCTCCCCTTCAGAGCCTCCCACTGACATTTTGTAGTTTAATCCTTAGCTCATTCAATAGTTTCCAATGACCCTTCATTACTCACAGAATGAAATCTCATCTCTTACCTTGAAATTTAAGGCCTTAACATATATCCAAAATTATTTGCCACTTATTGAAAAGACGATTGAATGTAATATTTATACTTTTGTTTAATAGGCAACTTTTCATCAGAATAATACAGTGTGATAATAATGTAAGAGGAGAAAGAATAATCTGAAAATGAGACCAGAGATATGGCTTTTTGAGAATGATGTAGTGTTTAGCAATATATTGATATGGTTTGGCTGTGGTATTTATAATTCAAGAAGAGATTTCCCAACTGAAATCTCATCTTGAATTGTAAATACCACAATTCCCATGTGTGGTGTCAGGAACCTGGGTGGAGGTAATTGAATCATGAGGGTGTGTCTTTCCCTTGTGGTTCTTGTGATAGTGAATAAGTCTCACGAGATCTGACGGTGTTAGAAAATAGGAGTTCCTGCACAAGGTGTCTTCTCTTGTCTGCTGCCATGTGAATCATGCCTTTAACCATCCACCATGATTGAGGCCTCCAAAGCCACGTGAAACTGTAAGTCCAATAAACCTTTTTCTTTTGTAAATTTTCTAGTCTCAGGTATGTCTTTATTAGCAGCGTGAAAATGGACTGAGATAAATTGGTACCAGGAGTGTGGTGCTGCTGAAAAGAAACCTGAAAATGTGGAAGTAACTTTGGAACTGGGTAACAGGCAGAAGTTGGAACAGTTTGGAAGGCTCAGAAGACAGGAAAATGTGGGAAAGTTTGAAACTTCCTAGAGACTTGTTGAATGACTTTGACAAAAATGTGGATAGTGATATGAACAATAAGGTCTAGGTTGAGGTGGTCTCAGATGGAGATGAGGAATTTGTTGGGAGCTGGAGCAAAGGTGACTCTTGTAATGTTTAAGCAAAGAGACTGGTGGCACTTTGTCCCTGCCCTAGACTGTGGAACTTTGAATTTGATGGAGATGATTTAGGGTATCTAGTGGAAAAAATTTCTAAGCAGCAAAGCACTCAAGAGGTTACTTGGGTACTTTTAAAGGCATTCAGTTTTAAAAGGGAAACAAAAGATAAAAGTTTGGAAATTTTGCAGCCTGACAATGTGATAGAAATGAAAATCCCCACTTCAGAAATTTGCGTAATGAGGATCCAAATGTTAATCCACAAAACAATGGGGAAAAATGTCTCCAGGGTATGTCAGAGGTCTTCATATCAGCTCCTCCCATCACAGGCCCAGAGGCCTAGGAGGAAAAGACAGTTCTGTGGGCTGGGCCCAGGAACCCCCTACTCTGTGCAGCCTAGGGACTTTGTACCCTGTGTTCTAGCTGCTCCAGCCATGGCTAAAAGGGGCCAAGGTATGGCTCAGGCTGTTGTTTCAGAGGGTGGAAACCCCAAGCCTTGGCAGCTTCCAGGCAGTGTTGAGCCTGTGGGTACACAGATGTCAAAAATTGAGGTTGGGGAACCTCCACCTAGATTTCACAGGATGTATGCAAACACCTGGACACCCAGACAGAAGTTTGCTGCAGGGGTGGGGCTCTCATGGAGAACTTCTGCTAGAGCAGTGCCGAAGGGAAATGTGGGATCAGAGCCCCCGACAAGAGTCCCTGTGGGCACCACCTAGTGGAGCTGTGAGAAGAGGGCCACTGTCCTCCAGCCCCTAGAATGATAGATCCATTGAAAGTTTATACTGTGCACCAGGAAAAGCTGCAGACACTCAACACCAGCCTCTGAAAGGAGTGGAGAGGGAGGCTATACTCTGCACTCCACAGGGGTGGAGCTGCCCAAGACCATGGGAACCCACCTCTTGCATCAGCATGACCTGGATATTGAGACATAGAGTCAAAGGAGATTATTTTGGAGCTTTAAGATTTGACTGCCCTGCTGGATTTTAGACTTGCATGGGGCCTATAGCCCCTTTGTTTTGACCAATTTCTCACATTTGGAATGGCTGTATTTACCCCATGCCTGTACTCCCATTTTATCTAGGAAGTAACTAACTTTTGATTTTATAGGCTCGTAGATAGAACGGACTTGTCTCAGATAAGGCTTTGGACTGTGAACTTTTGAGTTAATGTTGAGATAAATTAAGACTTTGGGGGACTATTGGGAATGCATGATTGGTTTTGAAATGTGACATGAAATTTGGGAGGGATGGGGTGGAATTATATGGTTTGGCTGTGTCCCCACCCAAATCCCGTCTTGAATTGTAACTCCCACAATTCCCAAATCTTGTAGGAGGGATCTAGTGGGAGGTAATTGAATCATGGGATGGGTCTTTCCTGTGCTGTTCTTGTGATAGTGAATAAGTCTCATGAGTTCTGATGGTTTAAAAAAATCCAGAAGTTTTCCTGCACAACTTCTCTTTTCTTTAACTTTCTGCCATGATTTTGAGGCCTCCCCAGCCATGTGGAACTGTAAGTTAAAACTCTTTCTTTTGTAAATTTCCCAGTCTTGGCTATGTCTTTATTAGCTGCATGAAAATGGACTAATAAATATACAAACCAATGAGGCCATCTGGCTCTACATTTGGGGTGGAACGATTTAGAGTTGAATTTTCCACCATTACACACAAACACACCAGACACACACACACACACACACACACACACACACACACACACACACACACACAATTTTAGTGGAAAGAGAGACCTAAACTTAAAAAAATTATAGTAGTTTTATAATATAACATATGGGACTATATGTTTGATGTGGGTAAGCAGGTTGTTTTAAACAATATGCAAAGTGCAAAAGTTATAAAAGAAATTATTGATATATTTGACTATCTCAAAATTGAAAACTTTTATATGTCAAAAGACAATACAAAATAAGTTTAAGGCAAAAGACTTTCTGAGAAAAGTAATTTTAACATATATGACAAACTATTAATATTTAGAATGTTTTAAGAACTTCATATTTAGATGAAGAAGAAGATAACTAATTTAAAAAATCAGGAAAGATATAAATATGTGAGAAAATTTAAACTCTACTTGTAATTTGAGAAAGGCAAACTAAGATTATAACAAGATACTGCTTTCACTAGACTAGCAACAATTTCACAGCTCGCTAATAGCAGAGAAAAGCAAGGCTTGGAAAAACTGCTGCTTTCCATTGACAACAAAAGCCAAAATAGACAAATGGGACCTAATCAAACTCCACAGCTTCTGCACGGCAAAAGAAATAGTCATTAGAGTGAATCGGCAACCAACAGAATGGGAAAAAATTTTTGCAGTTTACCCATCTGACAAAGGGCTGATATCCAGAATTTACAAAGAACTAAAACAGATTTACAAGAAAAAAAACAAGCCCATTCAAAAGTGGGCAAAGGATATGAACAGATACTTTGAAAAAGAAGACATACATGAGGCCAATAAACATATGAAAAAATGCTCATCATCTCTGGTCATTAGAGAAATGCAAATCAAAACTACATTGAGAAATCATCTCATGCCAGTTAGAATGGCAATCATT